AAAAGTGATGTATTGGTTATGCCCTTTTAGTTGGTTTTTATTAATGAAAAACTTTCATTCATCAAAAAAGGTGAGAAAGAATGCACACTCAATAACCATTCATTTTTTGAACTATGGGTGGAGGATTTACACAATCATGCCAACATCATATTGAAGTCAGACATCAGATTCTCACATTACATTATCCCTCACATATAAAATCCTAGTCTGAGAAATATTTTAGATATGCTGGATTTCAAAAAGACTAACTGGAGAATGATCAATCAGAATTGTGATTTCACCTTTAGGCCTGCGCAACCTACTATTCCTGTAACTACACTGACAGCATCTGGATGACGAGCAACCTGAAAATAAGTCATTGTCAATTAATAACAAGAACAACTTCAGCAGGCATACCAACTGAAAAGAGAAGTGATGTTATTCTACCTCTACAACTCCTTGCTCCCCAGGAATAATCTCAGGCTTTTCCTCAACATCAGCCAGGGCCTCTTTGAGTTCATCAACTAATGACTCGTTTCTAACAGCAATCAGTTGAGGTTTGAATGTCCTCACCTGTAAAACCCCAAAGAGAGAGGGGGGAGAGAGAGAGACAGAGAGAGTTAATGAGACCATAATATGATTCATTTTCTTGAAGCTTTAAACCTAAAAGAAAACAGGTAAAGACAGCAGTTAAGATAATTATCCCAACCATCACTTCTATTACTCAAGTAAAGAATAGATTGGGAATCACACTGTTCAAAGCACATAATCTGATAATAAGGTATTGCAAGTTCTTTACAACATAAAACCTACTGATTACCTGATCTGCAAGAAGAGTAACATTTGACCCAGCTGCGAGTGCCACAACTTTGAATTTATCTGGATTCTCCGCTACAATGTCCAAAGTCTGCAAGATACACAAATGATCAAGCATGAAGGGCATCTGAGAAAGAAAACCAAGACAGAGCAGCCTAAAGAATGATAATTGTTCTTGGTAAAGCAACTGACCTGACAAAGAGTGAGGCTACCCAACTCCAATAAAGGCTATATTTATCCATAATTAGACTATCCTAAAGTGAAACTAAGAGTGACCCTCCCCACTTCTTTCGAAGAGAATGTTACCAAGCAGAACACACGTTAGATAAACCTCCTATCCCATGAGCTTTTCAGCCTCTATGGCTCATTCTCTATCTAAGTGTTCAAAATCAGCAGCCAATTAAGTAGAAACTCAAAGCATAAAAGTAATTTCAATAATTGGGACAGTTTTGTTTTTGGCCTAATTATATTGTTACCTGCGTTCCGATGGAACCAGTAGATCCAACAATTGATATAGGCTTAGGACCATCCCATGTCTTGCGTCCAGCTTCTGGACAGGCTCTTCCTGGCCAAGCTGGAGGTGGCTGATTCTGATTCTGATTCTGAACTGAACACTGAATTCTTCTTCCCCCACAATCCTTCCTCTTCAAACTAAGCCCACCTGTGTTAAGCACCAGCAAGCACCAAAGTTTCAAACCTTTTCATTTCTACCACAAAAACAACGAAATTCGACTCTCAAGTCTTCCACAAAATTATCCATTGTTAAACTGAAAGGTCACCCAAAAAGTTTTTTGCATACATAAAGCAAAAGGTTCATAATTGCCTCAAATGTTTCACCTTTTCTGTGACACCCCAAAAGGTAAAATTATCCAACTTTCTTCTACACTACTTTCTAAGAAACTTTCTGCTCTTTTCTTGAAAACAAAACAGAAAACCCAGAGAAGCAAATTGACACCAAGAATTAAAGAGAGTGGAAAAGAAACCTTGAAGCTTAGGTAGGCGATTGGATTTAGTAGAATCCAAGAAAGAGATGGCCTTGATTTCAGCTGGAGATAGGATATTAAGTGCCATCTGGTCTTAGCTAGTTAATAACAGTACTATCTTCTAACTTTGTAGTTCCAAACCCAAAGGTATGAAGAGGCAAACAAGAGCAGAAAGAAAAATATAATCTTTTTTTTCTTGAACAATGTTATATTTGGGTGGTCAAAGATCACATGGCCAAAGACATAGCAATAATTTGCATGTTCCCCATGGAAAACAGTACTAAGCAAGCACTGCTGAACTTCATGAAAGAAATTTGTGGCTTTGTGAGTTGTGGGGTTTCCTTGTTTGTTTTCTGGTTTATTATTTTATAGATGAAAATGGGGGAGTGAGAAAAACAGAGGTTGAAGAGAGCAGTAGTGGGCGTTGAACATGAATGAGTGCGGGGAAAGGACGATAAAGGAATCAAATCATCTTGTGGAAATTAGTGTGATTCACAGATGTCACGAAATCCTGTCCGGTCCTTCAGTAATGGTAGTAGTGCCACCATTTATCTGTTTCCTCTTTATAACTCTATTATAATTAGAATATTTCTGATTAGATTGATTGGAGATATATATATTTTTTTTATCGGGGTTAGTTTTTTTAAAATATAAATTTAATAATTTAATTTAATTTAAAAAATTTAAAACAAGTCAACGGATTTAATAGCTTTTACTTTCACTATTATAAATTCTGTCAATAATATTACTATGCTCTCATAATTTCAACAAATATGTTAATATTATTTACCAAAATAAACCAAATATGGTAACTTTCAAGGAATTATTGGTATTATATTAACTTTTAACGAATAATTCTACAAGAATATTAATTTTTAAAGAATTGTTTTTATTAAAATAAATAAATAAACACATTCAATATTGAATATACCTGAAACATGATAGAAATTAAGGGTAAGATTTGATGCAAGTCAACTATGTATAAAGTTCACCCACGAAATCTAGATTTCTTTGTTTACTTTACCACATTTTTAAATACACTTGTTGTCTAAATGGTATGGTCGTTGGTATTTTGTTTTTAATTAAATTCATGGTTGCGCCAAATAAAATATGTGCAGTTTACTTTCTTGTTTTTTTGTTTTTGTTTAACTTCTTAATGGTGCATTATTATTATTATTATAGTTTACTTTAAAACACATGGAGAAAAGATTGTGCAAGAACTATAAACATACATTCATGACATTGTAAATAATACTGGAACACCTAAAAAATATCATTTTTTTATTTGTTAGCCAAAAAGTATTGTTAAGTCTAACTTGATTGTTAAATTTAATAATATTAGATTTAGTTGTAGTCAGACTTAAAATTATTGGATCTTAGTTAGACAATTGAATCCATCAATTTTAGGTTTGATTGGGTAGTCAAATTCAATATTATTAAATTTGATAGAGTTGTTGTATATTTTTAAGTTTATTTTTTTGTTTTTTTAGATTTTTTTTCTTTTCTCTTATTTTTTTCCATATAATAAAAAAAATTAATGAAACTTTTTTATATTGTACAAAAATTGAGTGATAATAATTTTTTTCATTTAAGGATGGGTTGAATTTTTTTATTAAAACATTTTTTTTGTGTTCCAGAAATGCTTTTAAAAAAGAATTTTTTTTAATTTTTATTTAATTCCAATTAATATTTTTTGATATTTATGTATTATTTTGATGTGATGATATACAAAATCACTTTTAAAAAATAAAAAAATATCTCAATATATTTTTCTAAAAACATAATTATTATGTAATAATATAATAAATAACATATTGGTCCACGTTCCAGAGTGAATCAATAATATTTTTCTCAAATCTAAAAATACTTGAATTGGGTTAAAAATACGGAATATATTTGCACCATCACCATTTTGAAATAAATTTTTTTCTATAAGAGTATCATAAATAGCACATAGCAAAGCAGCACCCAATACACTGACAATTAATTTTTTTTTTTTAATTTTTTTTCCTTGTAAGATATTTTCAATTTTTTTCTCTTTTTTTTTTATTTTCTCTTATTGATTTTTTTTGCACACCGTAAAGAAAAAAAATTGATGTGATTTTTTTTATATTGTTCAAAAGTTGGGTAATGATTTTTTTTTTTCATTTCAAGTTAGGTTGAATTTTCTTATTAAAATATATTTGTTTTTTCATTTCAAAAATATTTTTAAAAAATTTAAAAATTTTAAAAAAATTACTTCAAATTAATATTTTTATATTATTTTAATATAATTACAAACCTAAAAAGTCAAACTCAAAGCTATTGGATTTGACTTTACAACCACACTTGAGGCAATAGAGTTTAGTTCAGCTGTCAGACCTAAAGCTATCGAGTCTTGCTTCGTAGCTAGACTGTATTTAAAATCATGTTTTATATTTTTTTATTTAAAATAAAAAGTAGCTAGATTGTATTTAAAATCATGTTTTATATTCTTTTATTTAAAATAAAAATTATTATTTACTGTGTTGCAATTGCAAGCCAGCATACTTATTCTTTGTTTATTTTATTTTTGGTGATTTTTATGTAAAGGTATTTTTTGGTATTTGATGCTCATTATATAGTTGATGATATAAAATATCCTTGTAGTATAATTTTAAATTATTTTTCAAAAAAATCATTTTCTGTAATTATTAATCAATGAAATACTTCCTAGTGGAAAAGTAAATCATGATAGTATAGACGTGAATTGTTTTATTCATGCTTAACTCACACAAAAATAGTTAAGAACAATTTCTTTGATGCATCCTATCTCTCTCTTTAACACACACACGCATAGATATATGTTGTAAAACACGATGTACATGGACTGCAAGTGTGTTCTAGAAGAAGAAGAAAAACCAAGGACTCGTTATAGCCTTCATAATTAACTAGATGATTAAAATACTAGAAAAAGATAATAAATAGCAAAATAATATTTTTTTTTAAAATCACTATAACTTTGAATAAAACTATTACAAACATGAAATTAGATAAAAGAGATAAAAAAATTATAGCTCGAATTAATCCGAGGTAACATGATAAATATTAAACCTGAGTAATAAAAAATAAGTTAATCCGAGTTAATCTATAAAATTTATAGTCTAAGTCATAAGATAAGGATAATCTAATAAATTTTTTTTGAAGAAAACCATAAAGGAATTTTTTATATATATAGAAAAAAAACCAATGTCTAATGATAAATTGAAAAAATAAATAAGTAAAAAGAAGAAGATATCAATGCATGTTAATTTTTTAAACATGTGATCTAAGTTATTAAACTAGAAGTATCATGTATTGAAAAACCATAAGGTCTAATCCTCAGCAAATCAAATATTCAAAAATAAAACTAAAAAAAAAAATTGCACAAGAGAATCTAAAATAAAAAATGATAAATAAAAGAATGAAGGAAACTATAAATTTTTGATTGAATAATTAAATTAAAAACAAAAATAACTTTAATGAAAAGAAAAGAATAAACATCAAATTGAAGAAAACAAATAACATGTTTTTTTTATAAAATGATCAATGAAAATATCAGAAATTAAAAGATTAAGGATTAAATTAAAAAAATTATATAAAAAAAAATATTTTAAAAATAAAATAAAAATAAAAAATAAAGTTGAAAAAAAAAACTAACTTGTAATTAAAATGGAAGGAAAAAGAAAAAAAAAGTATTAGCTACAAACAATCCACCCTGACATGCATTGCACCAGGAGATACACCAGGAGAAAAAAAGATGTGACCTTCCAACTACTTAGTAAGAGGACAAAGTTGACCACTACAAAACACCATGCACACTACTCTATATATATTGGTGCTTTTCACATAATGGCATGTTTATCATAATACTCTTAATAAAATAATAAATTATAAAATAAATAACATAAAAAATTAAAAATAACCCTGGATTAAAGATAATTTTTTTTATTATTTTATACAAAATCAACATCAAAGGATTTGACATATACAGTTACAAAAATATTAAATGCTAATTTATGCACTAAGTGAATGCTTTTGAAGGATGATTTTGAAATTCGATCCGGTCTAATAAATTAATTAAAAATTTAGATGATTCAAGGCTAGAACCATATCTAGTTGAAAAAAATAAAAATAAAAATTTGGTATAACCCAATTGACCCGGCAGGTTCATTTGGTTAAAACTCCGATTACAATCTTTTGATTTTTATTTTCATTAAAAAGATATCGTTTTGATTAAAAAAAGAATTAATTTTAATAACTTTGTCAAAACCCGGAATCCATATCTTAGATCAGGCCAACCACCAAGTCTTGGACCGGGCGGTCAGGGCTGATCACCGAACAAGGAGTGAAAACTATGGATGTATTTGTACTAACCATAAATCACATGCACTAATCATAAATCACATTCATGTATTCAAAATTTTCCACAAATTAGACGAGGTTTTAATACTAGGTCATTATCTACCAATAAAAGTAGATTATCAAACATTAACACCTCATGTGTTACTAACACCACAATAATGGTATCTTGAATTAATAGGGACCCAGGATCCGTCCTCTCCTTTGGTTTTTGGCTTCTTGTGTGAAATTGTAAGAGAGCATATCATGTGGCAAAAATATTTCTTTTCTTTTTTTGTCCCTAGGTTTTGTTAATTTTGATCTCTCGTTTTTTAGTTTCTTTTCCTTTAGTGTTTTGTTTATTTGGGATTAGTCGATTGCTTTGACTGTCTTGGCTATAGGCTATAGGATCTTGTGGTGTTAAGAAAAAAAATATTGTTCTGGGTGATGTTTAATTTGCCAAAATTAATGAAGTTTTAATTTTATTTTATTGTTAAAAAAAACTCTTTATATTTTGAATATTTTATTTTATTTTTAAAAAATTGGTCAAAGTACGACAGAGAGCATACCAAAAAACTAGTTTTGGTGCTACTCACTGTTAAAAAAATAGTTTCAAAAAACTGATTTGTCAAGCTATTTTACTAGAAAACACTTTTTTTTATTTTTTATTTCTTATTATACATCAAGCATATGGAAATAATTTTTCTTTGTCTTTATTAAGTTCCATCATCTGTTAAAACAGGGAGCTGAAATGTTTTAAATGCTCGGTGTTGGAATATTCAAAGGGCGAATTATATTTTCGTCCCTTTAGTTTGCCAAATGTTTCGCATTGATACCTGACTTTTAAGATTTGTCAATATCTTTAGCATTTTCAATTTGTTGCAATGACAGCCTTATCATTCATTGTTTAGTACTGAACAAAGTGTCCAATTGCATCGACATAAGCCAGCAACAAACAATTTATGTAATGCAGATGACAAAACAATAGACTGAAGACTCAAAATTAAGATATTCTAACCTTTAAGGATCAATATAAAATATAAAACAAACTAGAAGGAGAAAAATTGATCCTCAAAGATATCATAAACTTTGAGGATCAATATAAAATATAAAACAAATTTATATGTTTTACAACTAACATACCCATTAGACTTTATTCTCGCACTTGTTTAGT